AAACAAGGCGATGAACTGTCGGGACCCGATCACTAAGGAGTTCATTCTCCAGTCTTGTCACAACAACCTCGCATTGGACGTATTGGAGGCAATGGGAACATCACCGTCTAACACTTGGAAAGACTTGAAAGTGCGCGGTGAACAAGCCGAACGCTTCCTCCGAAGGAAGAAGGCCGAGAGGAACCTACCGACGGCTAATCCTCTGAACTCAAACTTCGCCTCTCGTGGTAAGGGCAAGGCACCTGCAGCTGCTGTTGGTGCTAATCAAACGTCACAACAGCAATCCCAAAGGCAGCAAAAGACTTCAGACCCAAGACTCAAGAAAAAGTATTCCTTCAAGGACGAAGACGTTCCAGCCATCTTCGAATCCCTCCTTGGAAGCAACAAGATCAAGCTACCACCTATCACAAATAAGGAGGAAGCTGACAACACTACGGACCCAAAGTACTGTGCATACCACAGGAGGGTCGTTCATCCCACCAAGGAGTGCTTTGCTCTTAAGAATAGCATCCAAACCTTGGTTGAAGCCGGCGTTATATCGCTCAATTAAGTCGAAACAACACTCCGAAGAGTATACGAGTATAAACTGCTTCTCAATCCTCCAACAGGTGCATGAGGTTAAACTGCTTCCTTATATACTCCAACAGGTATATGAGTCTAAACTGTTTCCTTTCTTTCACGGGAAGTTCCTAGAGAATACCATGCCTGATATTCTTAAGGATAACCCGGATACCCAACTGAGTACAATACCAGACCTAGTTTTGCAAAGAAAGCTGGGGGTGGATGATTCATTTAACGGGAAGTTCCCAAAAGAAATCCATATAGTGTATTCTTAGGGATAACCCGGTCACCACAGCAAGGTGATGAATAAGAAACTCACATTCAAATTCTCACCGCGTTTGTGCATTCAACACTCTCATTGTTAGAGTCTGGACATAATATTCGAAATTGGTCAAACATTTCTACAGTTAGGACCAAAACCAAAACCCCCTCTCGATTCCTCTAATGAACGAGAGGTCCACAAATCGAGCGATCTAACCTTCCTACAGTTAGGATCGCCTCAAACCTCCTAATTGGTCAAACCTTCTTACAGTTAGGACCACAGTCAAAATCCCCTCTCGATTCCTCCAATGAACGAGAGGTCCACTTTCAAATCAAGTGATCAAACCATCCTACAGTTAGGGTCACCTCAAACTACCATTTCGCCAAATCTTCCTACAGTTAGGGTCAAAACCATAATTCACTCTCGATAAACGAGAAATTCACCTTTAGTTCGGTAATCAAACCTTCTGACAGTTAGGATTATCCGAATCTTTCGATTCTCGGAATGGAGGTCCCACTCCTAGTTTCACTGTTCCGGATTCTAGGGGTGGAGATCCCACCTCGAGTCTTCTTTCCAACTAGAAATAGAATATAAAATTCTTCCTTTTCAGAATCAAGGAATAGAATATAAAATTCTTCCTTCCTTGTATTCGGGTTCGCCTTCACCCTAAAAGAAGACCGGGAGATAGAATATAAAATTCTTCCTTTCTAGGATTCATCCTAGGAAGTTTATCCCGAATCCTAAGCAGGGATAAGTCTGCGCCTAACACGCGCTGTCGGTTTAGTCTTTCTCCGTAGAAAAAGACACCAGAGTTCGATTCTGGGGTATTTTATCCTGAAGCCTAAGTAGGGATAAGTCTGCGCCTAACCTGGGCTGTCGGTTAGTTCTTAACCGTTAAAAAGAACACCCGCCCACATATTCAACATTGTGGCAGATTGTTATTAATAACACCAAAATACATGCCTTACACGCATGGGGAATTTCATCCTGAATCCTAAGAAAGGATATGCCGACGCCTAACACGCGTCGCCGGTTTAGTCTTTTACCGATTGAAAAAGACACTTCTCCATAGAAAAAGACACCAGAATACCAGTCTGGGGTATTTTATCCCGAAGCCTAAGTAGGGATAAGTCAGCGTCTAATACACGTTGCCGTGTAGCCTATTCCCGTAACAATGGCGAAGTCTATGTATTCGATATCATAGCACAAAGTCTCAAAGAATTCACTCTCTTAGCACAACGTTACATGCGGAACGGATTTAGATAATTCGCATGCTAGCCCGACTCAAACGGTAGTCGGTAAAGGCTAATCAAATCCGTTGAAGGCTGGGGGTTAGCCAAAAATCCTAAAGTCAACACCTAACACGTGTCGCCGGGTAGCCTATTCCCGTAACAATGGCGAAGCCTATGTATTCGACATCATAGCACAAAGTCTCAGAGATTTCACTCTCTTAGCACAACGTTACATGCAGAACGGATTCAGACAATCCGCATGCTAGCCCGACTCAAACGGTAGTCGGTAAAGGCTTATCAAACCCGTTGATGGCTGAGAATTTGCCAAAAATTCTATAAATTCAAGTCATTGAAGCATCATCTTCATTAGTTGGTCTTGTGACTTGAGCATCTAACAACTTCAGGATAAGATCCATACACGTAGATGAATCGACTTTCATAGTTGGTCCAGTAACTCCGACATTTAGGACCGCCATGCTCTAATACCTCAAGAGCTTAAACTGTGTATACTCCAACAAATGTCAAGCGATCCGAAACCCTAGGGTCAACGCCGATCAACGCGTAACCCTAGGTCAACGCCAGTCAACGCGTTGCGATCAAAAAGTCAACGTATGACGTTCGAAACCCTAGGGTCAACGCCGATCAACGCGTAATCCTAGGTCAACGCGTAATCCTAGGTCAACGCCAGTCAACGCGTTGCGATCAAAAAGTCAACGTACGATGTTCAAAACCCTAAGGTTAACATCGGTCAACGCGTAACCCTAGGTCAACGCCAGTCAACGCATTGCGATCAAAGTAGTCAACGCACGACGTTCAAAACCTTAGGGTCAACGCCGGTCAACGCGAATTCCTAGGTTAACGCCATTCAACACGTTGCGAGCAAAAAGTCAACACGAGTCAATATATCATGACGGAGATAAATCAGTTCAAATGAGGCTAAACCAGTCTTGAACCAGGTTGAACCAATCTGAACCAGATTTGAACCTGATTTGAACCAGAATTCAAATTGAAGCTGAACCGAGCATCGAAACAACTTCAAATCGACCGAGGGTTCAGTCCTTTGTTTATTCTTTCCTCTCCCACACATTCGGAAGGGTCGGAAGATTTTTTGAGCCTAATTACTGCCTTTTTTAGGTCATTATTAGGCCGGTTCGGCTTATTCGGGCACGAAAAATACTCCAATAAGGTATACGAGTATAAACTATTTCCTATTTTTGGTTGAGAAGTTTCTGGAGAATATTTTTCTAAAAATATTCTTAAGGATAACTCAATAACACTTCGCCGGACAACGCGTCACAAATGAGAACTCAACGCCAACAATCGATGGTCAGTTCTATGTTGAACCAGCAAACACGAGCTAAAGATCAGAAAATCAGGAATCGACTTCAAGTTCAAAATTCTGACAATGGTCAGACAATAAATGCAGCACCGGAACCCATACAGACATTCGACAAAGTACCAAATAGCCTGAAGGATTGAAGGAATCAAGAACAGAAGCCATTCCAAGGTCCCGTTACACCGACTGAAGGTTGGGACAATCATATCCAAAGTATTCCAGACTCTTCTATAAAAGAATGAGGCTGAAATACTTTGGAGGGGGTATCTGTAGGCGTATAAAACTGCCTATGGGTCCCTTAACAAAGCTCAGCATGGTGATTCGACAAACCAACAAACCATCGGGCGACATATCCAAATCAGAGTTCAGATCAACAATAAAACTTGGATAAACCACGAAACCGAACAACGGACGCAACGGCGAACACCCGGTCAAAAACCAAGCCACCCAAGGGTGGCTCGGTGGCCGAGCCACCCCAAAATGGGTGGCTCGGTGGCCGAGCCACCTAGCCGATGGCCGAGCCACGCTCTGACCTGGGCCCAGATCTGGGCCCAGATCCGCCTCCAGAGGCTATAAATAATGGGGGAGGTTCATTTTTCAGGGGGTTAGAACTTTTGGAGCCGAAACTCTGCCGGATTGAGAACTGAATCTTGGAGTTTTGAAGCTTTGAAGACTTGGAAATTTTTAGATCTGGTTCTTGGCGAGCATCCACGTCAGAAAAGGCAGGAGTTCGAGAGAGGAAGTCTAGATCTGAGATCCACACGGTAATACTCCGGATCAAAACTTGGTTTTTGATCCCGAGAAGGCTATTATTTCCTTGGTGAAATAGTACCCTCGGCTGTTATTTCCTTCGTGAGATAACACCCGCTATACCGTGTAGATCCGACCGGATCTAGATCGCGCGGTAGTCCACGGATTAACCCCGACGCAGGCAAAGAACCCACAAAAGCGAGTGATCGCAAAACAGGAGCTCGTGATTCGTTCGACAAACAAGGAAGATTGTAACTTTTTCTTTTTCTTTTGATCTCATTGTAACCGGATCTTATAAAAAGACCAGATCTTTCTGTAACCGATAAACTGTTGCCAAAGAGTGCAATGACGTCAATAAAAGCAACAATTTTTCCCGCGAACAAAAGTATTTGGCGACGCAAATACACTACGTCGCCAAAAGTACACTTTTGGCGACGCGTCATGCGTTGGGAAAAGTATATCTTTTAGCGACGCATAATAGTTTGCGTCGGCAAAAGTGTACTTTTGGCAACGCATGCAGCGTCGGCAAAAGTGTAGACGCATGCAGCGTCGGCAAAAGCTATGTGTTGGCAAAAGTATAGCTTTTATCGACGCAAAATTGTTCGTCGCTAAAAACTATACTTTTGGCGACGCAAGTTAGCGTCGGCAAAAGTGCAGCTTTTAACGACGCAGAGTGAAGCGCCGCTAAAAGTTATACTTTTGGTGACGCAAGATAGCGTCGCTAAAAGCTATACTTTTGCCGACGCATACTCTGCGTCGCTAAAAGCTATACTTTTGCCGACGCAAGATAGCGTCGGCAAAAGTATAATTTTTGACAACGCATAATTATGCATTGGTAAAAAGTATAATTTTATCGATACTAATTTGCATCGCCAAAAGTAATATCTTTTCTATCAACTACAAGCCTACACTGAACCTGAACATCCACAAAAAAATTGCTCCCATTCACATCAACAAAGAAACCAAACATCAAATTATACTCCAAACAAGTTGTATATTATGATAAACAAAGAATTTGCTCCAATTGCAAAATAATTACATTCATTTGCATTTCTAAGTCAACACTCAAAGGCCTGTTTAAATATTCCAGTTTGTCATATTCAGTGTTTTCCATTTCAGAGAATGACACATTATAAGATTTACAGGAAACTAAACTAAGTTGAAAAAAAAAGAAAACTTGAAGTGAAAGAACGGGACACATTATAAGATTTACAGGAAACTAAACTAAGTTGAAAAAAAAAGAAAACTTGAAGTGAAAGAACGGCACGATAAGTGAACCTCTTCACAGATGAAGGTATATTCTCTTGTAGAGTTTTTGCGACTCTATCTAACTCCTGTATTTGTTGCTTTGCAGTCACTCTGTCAGGACCACAGTACATATCCATAAACTCTTTCATGTGTGGTAGCCTTTCCATCAGTTCTTTGATTATTTCCTGTTAGAGAAAATGCAACGTCAGATTATCAGCTACATATTCATTAACTGAATACCTAAGCAAACCTTGAAGTTTCAAACCAAATACACACAAATTCATTCACCCAATTTTTACCTGAACCAAAGCACTACCTTTATCAGAAACCTCAACAGGGGGAAGCCAAGTTCTATATGAATATCTGCAAACAATGCTCAAATTAGCAGTAGCACCTGCAGGCTGCAGCAATAATCATAACACCTGTATCCCCAGGATGAACAGTCGACGATGAGACACTCACTTCTAATACAGTAATATTGCCAAGGGAAATGTAAACACTCCCAATGAGTGGAATCATTATTGATTTCTCAACGTCCTTGAGTTTAAGAGGAACAAGAGCTCTAAGCTCCTGTTCTATTAGCAAGTCCTTCACAAAATCGAGACCCTTTTCAGAGATTATAGCAGAGATGGACCCAGAATCATCAGATAGGGATTGGGCAGCAACGGGACTAGAGAAAATTGATAGGAAAATTAAGAAGAAAAAGGCTTTCATGGCTTATCAAGAGTTTATAATTCAAAAAATTGACGGGAAAATTAGGAAGAAATTAATCAAATTATAGATTCATCAACACGTGCAATTTCAACATTGAATATGCACCTTACAGGTTTGTGATCGCTGTCCGTGGCAACCATTGAAGCTTCGTACCTACCCAAGTTAATGTTCTGAGTCAACTTATTTGCCACAAGGATATAGATTATCATGTAAGTGTTGCCTCCTAAGTGAAGTAGGAGCTCTAAGATGTCTGGCCACAAAATGAGGTCTGATTACCCAATTGTTTAAGCTTTTGACAAATGTTGTAATGGTTACAACAAAAAAGCAAATATTTATTATTGATTTCTATTGCAGAAATATATTACATAGGTCAACCTAAAATAGAAGCACATAAATAAGAAGACAAGCATTTAGAGCTCGCTCTATTATTTTTTGTACAAAATGCTTCTGCCATACACTATAACACTTGCCATACACTATAACACTGCCAGTAAACCCTTTAAGGGCTTTTTGGTTGTTCTTGGTAAAATTTTGTATTTATGACACAACTTAGAAAGTTATTGTCCACCTCACCAATTTCACTTGTATACTTTTCTTTATTTGTTTTTGATTCCATTGGAATCATAAATTGCTTGTTTGGTTTGCAAATGTAACTTTAATCTTTATTTGTTTTTGATTCCATTGGAATCATAAATTGCTTGTTTGGTTTGCAAATGTAACTTTAATTGTTTGTTTATCATAAATTGCTTGTTTGGTTTGCAAATGTAACTTTAATTGTTTGTTTGGAAAGTGTAAAAAGTTGTCTCAACGGTCAAATGATCATATTGGTTAGAATTATTTTTTATTATTGTTTTCTGACTTCAACGTCAGCTTTCTCCTAAAATTATGTCTTTTTTTTATGAAATCACTTTACAAGCCACATCAACATATGAAATCACTTTACACTATTTTTACAACTAAAAACAAATAATTGAAAGTGATGAAAGCTGACATTAGGACTCACTTTTTTATACTTTCCATCCTTTTACATGGTAAAAACATACAACCAAACAGCCCCTTAGAAAAAGAGCCTCGCCTTGGAGACCTAACAGACCATTTTCCTACTTTTACCATCCTCTGCTATCGCATCACACTAACATTTTCCAAATAAAGTACCAAAATATGATTAAACATGCGTAATAATTGAATTAAGTGAAACTAGTACCTTGTTCCCACTTGCCCGCCCAAATCCACATGCCACTGCTGCAGCATCAACATCACCAATATTTGGCCTAATACTTTTCAGAGCCCTAGCAAGTGACAAAAGGTATAACCCATAAATGCACATATCGACCAATAAGCATAATAGCTTTAAAAGAAACAAAAGAATAAATAAGACATATCAGGATGCGTCTCTAGCATCAATAACCTAATATGGGATCAAAATGTTTAATGAAAATATTACCATGCACAAATAAACAGACCAACCAATTGCCTAGAACCAACACGTTCAAATGATGACCCATCATCTAGGGTCTTTCCAATAGGAGGGGTGATAGGGGCACACCTCCAACCACACCCTCCACCACACCTCCTCTCCCTCTATAGTGCATTGGGCCCCACATTAAATTTTTTTTAAAAATTTGATGTGGGGCCCAATGCACTATAGAGGGAGAGGAGGTGTGGTGGAGGGTGTGGTTGGGGGTGTGCCCCTAACATTTCTATTCCAATAGTGTCCAACCACCATTGTCCATTAGCACTCCCCTCAAGTCCTACCTAATATCAGTTTAATAGCTGTAAGCGATAACTTGTTGAAAATCAAACATTCAGTTACCGAGACTGTATACCAACATATATGAAATTTTGCAAAACTGTTTACAATTTACCACACAATATTGACTGGAACAAGTATCTGCAGTCTGTTCATAGCAAACAATTTATGGTACAATAGAAAATTGATGTATGTCAGCCCTCTTATCAGAGGTACTTTCTTACAGATACTCTGCACATCATGATGATAACAAAAGGCGAGAGACCACTATATTGGTCAAATCCTCTGGCGCAAAATTTTGAAAACGCTTCGATCTTGTTGAAATCAGACTTGGACTGCAATTGAATGTTTTCAGGAGGTCTTATGCGGAGAAAAAAAATATGTAACCAATTATGGTTAGAAGTCCAATCCAGACTGGATAAGGATATCGGGAACCAGATATATGATTGTAGGGCAACTTTGATCGACTCATCTTTGGTTTAACAACCAATATAAAATATATTATTAAAATATATCACAACAAATAAAATTAACATGACAATTTAATAAAGTGATTTGAGATCTATACCTTTCATTCTTCAGTTTCCCACACATCGATCATCGATACCCAATCAGTCTTTTCAGTGTCATCCAACATTTATCCATATGAACCATTTGAAGCCCGACTGGATCTGACAACTCGCCGCTGTTAGTTAGAGCCCCAAGTAAGTATAACTGCTCCATAGATTTAACAATGCCAGTCATGTCAACAGTTTCAGATCCATATGAAGATTAAGGAAATTCTAATTATTAGAAACAGAATGTCATCAGCTAAACAAGTGACCTATTTGAGGAAACAAATATTATAGTTATTGATATTGTATCGCAGCCAAGTATATCAGACAACAAGTTAACTGGAAAGCGTGAAAGATAAAAAGAATGAGGGAACCTTGAAGGCTTTTCCATGAAATCAAAGGAGAAGATGTCCTTAATCCCAAGTGCTTTGAGCTGTAATACAACGTTTGATAGGTTGCACCTCTTAATTTCAGGAACAGCGGAATCCATAAGTTTGCCAAACTCACTTTCTGGGTAAAGCCGAAAGCACTTACCAGGCCCCTCACATCCAGCCCGTCCACTGCATTATGCACACATTTAGGATGACATATTCATAAAATATTTAGTTAAGGATCATATATCCCATGTCATAAGTGCAGTCAAACACCAGACGCATAATATATAACTAGTGCATCTGTCCGTGAAATTATATAGTCGAATCATATATCAGCATTTAGCATTTGCAAACTTTGCGACGACATCGTACTTTCATTAGGAAATGTCACAAAATATAGGTCAGGTTAGCAACAAAATGCCATTACCATGGTCACTCTTTAAACATTAACCATAATCAAGGTTTGATATGCAGCAGAATACAGACAGATACCCTACAAAATGATGGGACAAATTATACCAAGTAAGTTCAGGAAAATACTTTGCTACAAAAATTACAAGTAAGTGCAGGGCTAGCCACAAACTTATCAGCTCAATGGTAAGAAATATTACCTAATAGATCACAAACTTTAAGCCGATGTACCAAGCTTTTCAAATTACCTTAACTAACAGGTATTCTAGGATGAAAATATCATGGGGAAAAAACCCTCCATATGTGACAGTCCCACACAATTACCTCCTTTGAAGAGCCTGTGCTTTTGAGGTTGGGATGATAATTAATGATTCCATTCCCGTAACTACTAAAAGTATTTGTATTCTCTGCGGACGAATTTTCTCAAGTAAAAAAAGACATGCCTTGAAAATAAATCAATAGTTAAAACTATAAGAAAATTTAGTGATTTTATTTGACAAAATACACGATCACAAATGTAGAAATGTACAAAGAGAATCAGATTTACCTTGCGGCTGCCAAATGGCGCTGGCTTAAACACATTCATCGGCGAAAATGAGGAGGAGGAGAGGCGGCGAGATCCGATTTGGGAAGGAAGAACTAGGGTTTTTTTATGGGGATTCGTCGGCAAACAACAGAGTCGACGGCGGCGGCAAACTTCAGGGCTCGATGGCGGCGGTGAACTCCGACGGAGGGGCGATCTCCGACGGTAGCGGCGAGTTCAGAGAAGGCGCACGGATTTGAGGCCGGTTTTCTGATGAGAGAGAGAACGAGGGCTGTGGGGGGTTTTGGGGTTTTTTCTCTCTTTTTCGCGAAAATAAATGGGCGAAATTTCCCTCCCTTCTGCGTGTAGGGTAAAAAGGTGCGGGGTTCTTTTTGGCGACGCGAACGAGTAAAAAAGCGTCGTTAAAAATACGCCTTTCAGCCACGAAAAGCAGATACATTGGGAAAAATAGACTTTTATTGACGCTTACCTACACGTCGCGATATATGCACATTATTAGCGACGCCAGCTCTAAAACGTCGCTAAAAATATATATTTTTGCCGACGAAAATAAAAAAACGTCGGAAAATCCATACACTTTTACCGACGCTAAGCTAAAACGTCGCTAATAATATATACTTTTAGCGACACTAATTATAAACGTGGGAAAAAATATATGTTTTCCCGACACTAACTAAAATCGTCGGGAAAAACATATTTTTTTGCGACGTATTTAACCATGTATCGGGAATAAGCGTTGGGAAAAGTGTAATTTGTTGTAGTGCCATGAGTTATAGTAAACTCATAAATCTATTTCTAATTTATGTTTCTCGAAAAAAACAAAGACATAAACCTGAGAGAAATAATCAAATTAGTTGTCTAGATGCAATGCACATGTATCCCACCTAGTTCAATATAAACCAACAGTTCTAAGCAATTTGCGAAAACATATTTTTGGTTCTTAACCTAGAAAGTAAAAACATTTTCTTAAATTAAAGGCTAATTATTTGGAACAATTATTCATTCCCCTGAATTGAAAAATATGTATTATGTAATTTTAGGATTGCTTGAGGATTTAGTTACTGTAGCACGTTTTTACAAACAATTGGAGGATTTATTGTAGTAAATAAATTTGTTCTTATTAGATATTTTTAATATTTGAATATACAATATGTCAATTATAGTTATAACATAACGTATTACCATTTTTAGTGCTCTTTTGGATAGCTTAAGTTCTAACTTTGGTATTACTAAATAAACAAACTATTATTCAAATCCTAGGACCATTGAGATTCACTAAACTTTTCATCTCTTATCACATTGCATTTGCATACATACAAAAATTATCATTGCAATGAGCACATTGACCTTATGCATAAATATAGAGACAGGAACAAGTGCAAAGAACATGCACCAAACTAATCATTATTAAACAAAAGTAGAGCAATGCACAACCTTTCATCATCATCGAAAGCTAAAAATACAACATGATAACAACTTTCACCCAAGCAAAGTAAAGAACAGCCAAAAAAACTCCTACATAATACGATACCCAAATGGCGCAGTATTAATTTTGATGATACTATTTGAGACTTGGAATACGAGATTAAGTGATTTTTATTATTGCCCCTTGGTTTGAGGATATATTGGAAAACTCCAGTTCCATGGTTTGTACTTCTAATACCTCCCCCGCCGCTGCCTACTCCTCCAACTTTTCCTCCTATGTTTAACTGGCAATCCCTTGAGTTGCATGGACAGGTTATGGTACAGTTACTGCCGCACCTCTAATGAACAAGAAAGTACAAGTGTTACATGGGGCAACTCCATGAAAATTCCGAAAACTACAAATGTTGTGTGGGGAAAATAAAGAATTCAAATCCTTTAAATTTTTATTTTTTAGATTGGCATTTTGAATTCTGAATCCAAATTTCAATCACATCAGATTGGCATTTTGAATTCTGAATCCAAATTTTAATTTTTTGTCTATAGTATTAATATCTACATGTTGAATGCTATTGATAGTAGTCTACCTCAACTTGTAAAGTAAAAAGAATTTATGTGGAGAAAATCAGAAAAAATCAGTTTTTCTCCATTTTCAGCATGTGGGTCAACTCATACATGCATATGAGTCGACTCATCAGGTTGAGTCGACTCATGCCTGTCATGGGTCGATTCATGAAACTCAGTCATTTTGTATGAAGTTTCTGACGAGTCGACTCACCTCAGTCATGAGTCGACTCACTTGGCATGAGTTGACTCATGCCTATCATGAGTCGATTCATCAACGGTTTCCTGGTTCATTTGGGTTTCTGTTTGGATATAAATAGGAACACGATTTTCTAGGGTAAAGATAGAAAAGATATAAGAAAATTGAGTATTGTGAGAGAGAGATATTATGAGCAAGTTGAGAGCTTTGGTTGAGGGTTAGTTGGAGTGATTTTGTTTTATTGTAACCCTTTTGTACTTTCCTTGATTTAGTAGAATCTCCTCATCCTCTCTCCGTGGGTGTAGGCAAATTGTCGAACCACATATATCTCTGTGTTTGATTGGGATTTGTCGTATTTAAATTGGATTGTGCTTGTGTGTGGTTCACTTCTTCTTAGTGATCTCAGACTCGTTCGGTGTGCGCGTGCACGCTTCCGCATAGGTGCATGACATTGGTGATCAGGTTTACAACAAGTGGTATCAGAGCTCAGATTTCAGATCTAGGGTTTTAGATTTGGTGGAGGAAGATTCAGTTGGAATCTTGGTTCTTGGAGTTCTAGGCTTCGGTGGAGTTAGGGTTTGAAGTTGCCATTGAATATCTCGGTTTACTCGTGTGGTTAGGAGTTCTATTTGAATCAAATCTAGGGATCAGTTGGGTAACTTCTAAATTCTATAAGTTTGATTTTTTCTTTGCAATTTGGAGTTTGTGATTATGGGTGAAGATGATGGTGAAAGCAGCAAGATGGCGGGTACATTTCAAGTTGGTTTTCAGAATACTAAGATTAGTGTGGTGAAATATTACGACAAAATAAATTTTGGTTTGTGGATGAGTGACGTACAGGATGCGCTCAATGCTCAAAATTTGGAGGAGACCATCATGGTCAATGAGAGGCCACCTAAATATGAAGAGGCGATATGAGAAAAGATAATTAGGAACGCTTGTGGGATGATCAGGTCTTGTTTGGAACAGGAACTAAAATATGATGTGATTGGGGTGACGTCTGCAATGAAGATGTGTGAAATTCTCAACAATAAGTACCTTACGAAGAGTGTTGAGAATCGTTTGCACTTGCTGCGAAAATTATTCAGATTTCAGATGTCCAGAGGCACCTCACTTGTGGCTCATATAAACAACTACACTAAGTTATTGCCGGACTTGACGAACGTGGATGAGAAGATTACGGATGAGTACAAGGCTATTATTCTTTTGGACTCCTTACCGGATGAGGAGTATGATACCTTCATGCTTACTTTGTTTAATGGAATATCTTCTATCACTTATAGTTAAGTGACTAACGCATTGACGAATTACGATTTGAGGAGGAAGGATAATGAGACTTCCCGTGCTAGTACTTCAGAAGAGGCCTTATCGACAAGAGGTAGAAGCCCATATCCGAAAGGTGGAAATAGAGGAAGGTCAAAGTCAAGAGGTCATCACCAGCTAGGAAAGAACCAATGTGCATTCTGTAAGGAATAAGGGCATTGGACAAGAGATTGTCCAACGGTTAAAGAGAAGGAGAATAGCAAGAAAAAGGGCCCGAAGGCCAATTAGGTTTATGTTGCAAAATGCGATGATTTTAATGATTCGAGCTTTTCTCTTTTGATTACTCCGAAGGTGAACCATTTGGATGCATCAGATTGGATGCTTCATTCCGGCGCTACTTATCATGTAACCCCTAGATGAGATTAGTTTGTATCATTTAAGAGACTTGATGGGGGTGTTGTTGTCATGAGAAATAATCAATCCTGTGGCATTTGTGAGATATGTACCGTGCAGATTCGGATGCACGATGGGGTAGTCTGTAAATTTAAGGAGGTGAGATTCATTCCTCAGCTGAAGAAGAATCTTATTTCTGTTAGAGTTTTGGAGGCTAAGGGATTCAAGGTGACCTTTGAGGACGCTATAGCAAATGTTACTAAGGGATCTTTAGTGGTGATGAAGGGAGTGCGCAGTCAAAAGTTATATTATCTGAAGGGGAGTACCAAGGTTGGCCAGGTTGCTTTAGATATTTAATAGGAGGGCATGAGCAAACTTTGGCACTACAGGTTAGAGTACACAGGAGAGAAGTCACTGCAGGCTTTGTGCAAGCAAGGGCTATTGAAAGGAGCCAAGAGTGAAAAAGTGGATTTCTGTGAGCACTGTGTTCTTCGCAAGAAAAGAAAGGTAAAGTTCGGGACTGCTATTCATAAGATAAGGGGTATCTTGGACAATGTGCACACAGATGTTTGGGGTCCCACCAAGACGGCATCACTTGATGGTTGACATTGGTTCGTCACATTTGTTGATGACTATTCTACGCGTTGTTAGGTGTACACCATGAAGCATAAGTATGAAGTCCTAGATTTGTTTGTGGAGTGGAAGAAGAGATTAGAAATGCCAACTGGGAGAAAGATCAAGACGTTGCGATTCGACAACGGCGGCGAGTACTCTTCAGACCCCTTTCAACAGCTATGTCGAGACGAGGGCATAGAGAGTCACTTCACAGTTAGTCATACACCACAGCAAAATGGGGTGGCAAAGAGGCTGAATCGGTCTTTATTAGAGAAGATCCGATACTTATTGGCGCATAGTGGTTTGGAGAATATTTTTTGTACTGAGGCACTTTCATATGCGAGCCACCTCATTAATAAGCTTCCTTCATCTGCGATTGAGGGGAAAACCCCAATGGTGATGTGCTCAGGAGAGACAACACATGACTATGACCAGCTTAAGGTATTTTGTTGCCCTGCATATTATCATGTTAGAACTGATAAGTTAGAACCTCGAGCTAGGAAGGCCATATTTGTAGGATTTAAGCATGGTGTCAAAGGATACAAGCTTTGGGATCCAGTTGATAAGAAGATTGTGCTGAGTAGGGACGTTACATTCGATGAGGCTTCTATCTTGAAGCTTCTCGGCTCTCATCAGGTGGAGAGCGACCTGACAGAGGAGATATCACAGGTGGTGGAGATTGATACAGCTCCATAGTTTCCAAATGGTACAATATCCATTAGAGTGCCGACTGAGGTGACGCCAGATGAGCATGATGATGACACGGAGGATACAGGTACTGATGTACAATATCAGGGACCGACAGCTCAGGTTCGGGATTCTATTGCGGTTCGGAGACAGAAGAGAGACATACGGGTGCTAGGATGGTATACCGATACAGTTGCGTATGCACTTC